AGCAATTCAGAACTATTGAACTATCAGAACCACTTGAGGAAGACCCTCAGACCATACCCCACATCTGGGACGTGGGGTGGGTGGAAGACTGGGTGTGGCTTCTCCCTTAAAATCCCCTTTTACATCAGATATATTAAGGAAACAATACGGAACTTGTTGTTTTACCCATCTTCCTGTAGTGCTTGAAACTTTTTACCCTGATTATGTCAAGACTGTCAAAAATAAATTAAAAAAAAATGAAAAGAGAAAAGAAACAAAATAAAGTATTTGCATATTGTTTTATTTTTAAAAATTGGCTTTATCTGTCACCTATAGATTTCTGGATTTTAGAATTTCTGCTGTTGGTCTAATTGGGATTCCTTCATATGTAGCTTGATGATCTTCTTTTGCGTGGATTCTCTTCTTGTCCTTCACTTTTGACAATGTAACTACAATATTCCTTGGAGTATGTATTTTCGGTTGATTCTGCTTTGGTTGCTTTAGGCTTCCTGTATCTGCATGTTCCTGTCTTATTCAGGACCTGGGAAATTTTCTTTTTCTGAATTTTTTTTTTTTTAATTTTTAGTAAGGGGAACAAATGTGATGTGTTTCATATGTACAGTTCTAAGAGTAAAATGATAATTCCCACCCAGCCCTCCAAGCCTCATTCACTCTCACTCTTCTTCCTTATTCCACTCTTTCAGTTTCAATTTCTCAGTGAGAAATTTTCAATTTACCTTGTAATCACAAGCTTAATTCTTCACTAAATAAATTCAGGAAGTAGATATCCATGGGTCCTCAAGAGTACAGAGAAGGGTTATAGATAATGACCAAGTCTCATATTGTTAAGTCCACTCATACGTGTTACATTTTTTAAACTCTCTATTTTAGTTACCACAGATCACAGGAACATATGATATCAATCACTTGGGGACTGCCTTGTTTCACCAAGCATTATGGTCTCCAGTTGAGTCCATTTTGTCAAAAGAAGAAAGGATTTTTTTACACATGAGTAGTATTCCACATCATATAGAGACCACAATTTCTTTTTCTTTTCTTTTTTTAACCACAATTTTGTGATCCAGTATTTGGTTGACAGACTTTTGGATTGATTCAATATCTTAGCTACTGTGAGTTGAACTGCTAAACATGTGGGTGTATAGAAAACCCATGGCCTGATTCATCTCCTTTAGATAGGCTCAGGAGTAGAACAGCTGGATTGTACTGTAGATCTACTCTCAGAGTTCTGAGAACTGAATCCTTTACCTAGTAGAGTCTTAGGCCTGTGGTTTGAAGTAAACTAAAATTATATCAGTGTAAATGTTTTTAGCAAGAATTAAAGAGGGAGCATGTTGGGTGGTCACTATGAGCAGAAAGGAGGGTAAGGCAGGAAATATTTCTATGCTCCTAATCTGTGTTATAAAAATACATAAAATTTACTTATCTTACATAAATAAAATAATTTTCAGAAAGAAAAACTAGACCAATTCTAAGATGTAGAATGGTATGAGGCTTTCCATCCACCACTCTTATTCAATACGTTATTGGAAGTCACAGCCAGATTGATAAGGCATGAGAATGAAATGCAAGGCATTCAAGCCAGAAAGGAGAAAATTAGATTATTCAGTTTTATACGTGGAAAACCTAAGTAATTAGTGCACCAACAAGTAATTAGAACTTATTAAAAACAAGTTTTATGGCACAAAATAAATACACAAAAGTTAGGAACATTTTTTACAACAGTTAACTCACTGAAATAGAAAACAAGAAATGAATCCCACTCACAATAGTTAGAAGAGATTTGTAAGTTAAACCAATAAAATAAATAATATCCACAATTAAAGTTATAAAGCTCCAAAAAAGAATCAAATTCAACACAGAAAAAAGTATAAAATTTTTGACAGTTATGGTTTGGAAATGTTAACATTGCTACAATTTTCTCAAAGCCCAAAACAACAAAGGAACTCAATATAACCAGAATAAAAATATCAATGACAAGCTTAAAGAAACGATCATGCATTTCTAAATTTGTATAGAAGCCCAAAATCCCAGAGCAGACAAAGCAATCCTGGGAAGTTAGAAAACTCAGAGGCATAAAAACACATGACTTGAAAGCAGACTGCACAGCTGTTATACATATAAACAGTGCCTATGTAGGTGCATAAAACACACACAGTCCAACAGAATAGAAAATATAAATCATTTATGCATGTATAGCTAACTCATCTTTGACTAACTTCTCAAAAATAGGCAATAATAATGATAAAACTGGATAGACACACTAAAAACTGATAGTGAATATTACTTACAAGAAAGCATGGGAGAAAAATTCAAGGTTTTGTTTATGCAAAATTTTGGATAGGACCACAAAAGGACAAACAACAAAGTTAAAGCAGACACCTTGGGCTGTGTCACACAAATTCACAGTAAAGGAGATATCATGTCCTATAAGGCAATTAATAGGGAACTATTTGCAAAGTTATTAATGACAAGGGATCAATATCCACAATATTTGTGAAACTCAAACAACCCAATGGTGAAATCATTATCATCATCATCAAACTTTGAAATGATCTGAACATACTTTTTACAAAATCAGAGAGATAAGTAGTACATAAAATAATGTTCAATATCACTAGCCATCAGATAAATAAAAATCAAAGCCACAATGAGATACCACTTCACCCCACTGAAAATGGTTACTGTCTAAAAGATTTTAAGGATGATAAACAATGACAGTATGGAGAGAGGGTAACTTGTTAGGAATGTGAATTAATATACTCTGCTGGAGACCAGCTCCAGCTGACTGAGAGCGTGCAATGGATGAGTGGATCGGCGTGACAATAAGAAAAAGAGATAAGACGCGGACCACTATGGTTTGAGGCTCATAACGGACAACTCAGAAAAGTTGCCTTCTTTATTTATACACAAATCATCAAAAGCTTTTGCACAATATCCAATTGTTTCATTTTTACTTCATGGTTAAGAGAATACAAAAAACAATCCTAAGGAAAATATTTTCAACAAACCATTACTCATTGAAACCTGCAATCACTTGGCTGAAGCCAGGAACTCCACAGTTGACAGCGCATATGGTTACATAGTGACAAGTGGTTTACTTATACTCAAAATCAATTTTTACTAAACACAAACTAACTAATATTGCTTGAAATATTAAGAGTACAGAATTAAAAGATCATAAAGGATTTTATAAAAGCATATAACATAGATTCTTTGCTAAATCTTATAATCAAATCAGGCATTAATTACCATCATCTTCACCTAGTGCTGATTCAATTATTTTTTGTTCTTTTGTTAAAGGGCACTGTAAGGGATCAAGGCAACTCAGCCAATCTACAAACAGAGGGCCTGTACAAGTAACTTCCTTTTATCTTTATAAACTCTTTTCTTTCCCTAAATATGAGTGCCAGTATAAGATTGAGATTTTAAGATTTTGGGGGGTTTTACGTTTGTTTAGAAGATGCCCCATATACTTTAGCTTTCTGCGGTGAGAAACTATAATGCATCATATCATGTGTTGTAACAGTTCAAGGCGCATGGTAAACAAACTCTTTGTACCTCCATGATTGCCATCTGTCGCAGGATATTGTCAAGCTGTTTCCTAAGGCAAACATTACTTACGTTAGGGCAAGCTCCAGGACACATAACAGGATGTTTGAAGACATAGTGAGCTCAATTGTACTATTCATACTTTTAGTTGTGTATCACAGCCTTATGTCGCTAAAGATGTTTTTATCATAACATTGTTGATCAATTTGAGGTGTTATACCAGTTATAGGAATAATTTCACATTAGCAGAAAAACAACAACAATACCCTCAGAAGAATTCTATGAAACATCAGAGGTGATTGAGTGGCCGTGCAATGGGGTGAGGCAGCAATGAGGTGACCGGAGACATTCTGCCGGGCCTTGCCATGCAATTAGATACTCCTCGTAGCCTTGCTAACTGAGGAGTGGTGCTCATCACACGCCCATGTCATCTGACCCAACTGCATGGCTCCCCACATCTGTCATATGGAAAAAATAGGAAATTAAAAAAAAGTTTGAAAAAAGAGAAGAGGGTGGGAAGAAAAATAATGTTGTTAAATTTGTACTGTGAAATACATGAAATTCGTTCTCTGTATATAAGTAAAACTAAGAGGATCTTTCAAGTTTCTACTATGATATAAATACACAATGAGTTTAAAGTTGCTTAGGTTTGAGTCAAACAATATGCTTAGAACAGTTCTGGAAGGGTACGAATTTTGGATTTTTTTTAAAGGACATAATGGTGCAAAGTCACTAAAGACTTGTGTTCTGATGGACAACATTTTTATATAATGGCTAATTAATTATGAAGATATGTAAAATCATTCACAGATGACAGATGATTATAGATCAAAATATTTAAGGCAAAACACACAACCGTCCAGGACATCTCTGACACCAATAAGAGGAAATTATTGGACTCACAACACAGATTGATTTGAGGGTTTTCTGGGAAACAAGAATTTTTAAATTAACATAGAAATGTATTTTATGGTCACAGTATTGGTTCCTGAACAGAGAAAATTTTCAACCTTTGCTAGAGTTCAATGACATCACAAAACCTGGAAAATAGAAAAACTACTTCAAATGTTATTTTCACCTTCAAAGATAAGGAAAGAATGAAATTACACTCAGAATAGAATAATTATGTCATTTTAAAAAAAGATTTATTTATTTGACTCAAAAGTCAGAGTTACAGAGAAAGAGAGAGAGGGATCTTCCATCTGCTGGCTCACTTCCCAAATGCCTGAAATGGCCTGTGTTGGGCTGGTCTGAACCCAGAACCCAGGAGCCTCCTCCACATTTCTCCTGTGGGTGCAGGGCCCAAAGACTTGAGCCATCCTCTGCTGCTTTCCTAGATCATAACCAGACAGCTGGACTGAAATTGAAACAGCTGGGAATAGAACCGGCATACATATGGAAAGCAGGTGGAAGATTAGTGTGCTATATCATTGATCTAGCCCCACGACTATTTATTTCTTATGGAAAAGGATTCTTGACATCACCCTCTTGAAGGCCTCCTTCATGTCTTTATTTCGGAGACTGTAGATGAGGGGGTTCAACATGGGTGTGATGATTCCGTAGAAGAGGGAAACCATCTTCCCCCAGTCTTTCGAGGTGGAAGAAGGTGGTTGCAGGTACATGTAGATGCCTGTTCCAAAAAAGAGAGACACCACAATCATGTGTGATCCACATGTCCCAAAAGCTTTCCGCCGCCCTTCTGCTGATTTGATTTTCAATACTGCTCGAGCTATGAAGCTGTAGGAGATGAGGATTAATGTTACTGGGATGAGCAGAATTAATACACTAAAGAAAAAGAGCTCAGCCTCAATAGGTTTAGTGTCAGCACAGGACAACTTGAGAAGGGCAGGGACCTCACAGAAGAAGTGGTCCACTTCCCGATGACCACAGCGTGGCCTGTAAAGGGTCAAGCAAGACTGCAACACGGAGTTACTGAAGCCAGTGAACCAGGAGAAGGCTGCCATCCTCAGGCACAGCCTTTGATTCATAATGACTACGTAGTGGAGGGGTCTGCAAATTGCCACAAATCTGTCAAAAGACATAACAGCGAGGAGGAGACATTCAGTAGCTCCCAGGGCCAGGAAAATGATGAGCTGGGTCACACAACCACCATAGCTGATGGTCTTTTTGTTGCGGCAAATATTCACCAACATCTGAGGGACTGTACTTGTGGTATAACAGAGATCTAAGATGGAGAGATTAGTGAGAAAGAAATACATGGGTGTGTGAAGTTTGGGATCCAGAATGCACACCATCATGATGGACACATTGCCAAAGATGGTGAATGAATAGGATATTACCAAGACCACAAGAAGAGGCATTTGCAGCCAGGGCCTGTCTGAAAAGCCAAGCAGTATAAACTCTTTGGAAGAGCTCTCATTTGTCCAGGTCATGATGACTGTCTTATTTTTCACTCCTAAAAACATGGAATAAAAATAAAGTCAATATACATTGAATGCTTTTACTGGAATTCAGCTGAAGTTAGACTAATAGAATGTATAGATCAACGCAAAATGCAATTGATAGACAATTTATTGGAGTACCTTTGAAATATGATGTGGTTTTCTGACAGTTAAAATGTAACTCTTATTTTATCAGTAGTAGTATGTGAAGTATGTCACGTGGCATGAAATTTAAATGATACAAATTCTATGATATACATAATGTATAGAGATTATATACACTCAGTTCATTTTGCTTCTTCTTATCTCTCAACCTACTTTAATAAAAATTCTGGTAATAAACATGATTTTAAATCCAATTGTTTTAAAGTTAAGCTCAGCATGCTAAGTTATATAGATTATAAGAGCTCTTATCTAAATCTGCATGGATTTAAAGATATTCTTATTTTCGTGGCATCATGATTTAATTTTGTGAGCACCGTTTTTATACTAAATGACATGCAACACTCACTTCCACAGAGCTTTCTTGGGTATTAGAGGTTCTAATTCAGTGTGATAGAATAGTGCTTGCTGGCAGTACATGGCATGACCACAGATGTCCTCTCCTGATGTCCAGTTACCTGATTGAGAGCAGTAAAACTGACAGTCTAATCATTTTCTTGACTTACGTCTCAGACACAGCTCAGTGTGGAAATTCTAATTATTGCCAATCAGGTATAATTTGCACTTTTATTGATATCGTGACTCGGCAAAAAAAAATTACACTTTTACTAAGATCAAGTTTCAAAGTCTGAATTACAAAACCCTTTAAAATCTTTAAAAGTCTTTTATGACATATTTCCTTTTCTGCCAAGTACATCCATAACATGTAAAGAATGTCTACTTGTTGCACATTGAGAAGGCTTACCAATGTTGTAAGTTACAGGCATAAATTATAGCATATATCTAAATAGACATAAGAAGATTTTAAAATGAACAAGATTGGCATATTTAACTATACAATGAAATACCTTTTCCAGAGGGAGGAGCACTTGACATATGATGTATAACTTGATGGTGAAAAGTCTGCCTACGAATAATTTAACTCCTTCCATCTTAGGTGTTTTTAAATTGGGCTTTCTGGTTTCAGTTATGCATTATTCCTTGGTAAAGAGCAATGATACACCTTAGACTGAAAAATTTGAGTTGAGTGTTGAATGTTCACATAACCACAGCTATTTTGTATCTATAATATATGCAAAGAAAAATGATAGGATGGAACTTACACAATATCAATGGCAAATTTTATATCTTGAATATAATTACCACATAAGAATGAGCAAAATCTATGTACAATAAAAAGGAGCAATAGACTAAAAAATTTGAGTCACTATAAAATGTAAACAGTGAAAATAGAGAAGGTTTTCAATTTTTTATTATTAAAGAAACATATATCAAAACAACCAGGATATTTTACCCTCTCTCTTGATTGGTTGTTTTGAAAAGAAGTCATCTTCAGAAACTAGCTGGTAAGAACAGCTTCTCTGGAGCTAGACTCTGTCAGGACTTTTTAAAATTTTCTGAGGTGTGTGTAGCTGGTCAATTTAATGAACATTCTGATAGTCTCCAAGTTGATAGAATTGTTGTGAGGGTCAGACAAGACATAGTGTGAATTCCATACATGAAACATAGGATTTAATGAAGTTGAGATAGCTGTCATTAATGATGTGATTAATATTAATCATTAGTAATCATCATTAGTAGCTACTCTGTATTTCAACATGAGAAAAAGGCAACCAATTGACCACTGATAGTGTTTGTTATGCTGTTTATCATGTCATAATATGAAATTATTATAGGTATATTTAACTTCTTTCCCAGTATAATTTCAAGAATATAATTTTCCAGTAAATAGAAGTTGATAGTTGATAGGTCTGGAGGACATGTGAGATAATGCTGCCAAAACTGCTTTTTTCCCCATTTTTTTTCATGTTTTCTACATGCAGAGAACAAGATATTCTGTGGCACTGGTATTAGTTCCCATGCCAATTCCTCTTTTACATTATCAGAAAAGTTGAATTAACTGTTAACAAAAACACGTTTATTTACTTTTATTACATCTCTTTCCTATTATGTCATACAGAATTTAAAAAAAAAACCTTAAACACCAGTGATCACCTTTTCCTTGTGAAAGCAAATTCTGCAGTTTTTAAAATATATATGAATGAATGTTTATTTGTGTGCATTAAAGAAAAGTTTAACACTGAAAATACTTGGTACTTCTTTTGAGGTTTCCAGAATACAAAACTGGTCACTCCTCACTTAACATGTTGCAACCGAGACCTGGACATGTGAATGAGACAATCTTGAGGGATCATTCACACTTACAGAAATGTGACTTTGTGCCATAGATATAACTCACCTTTCCTCTAAGTGTCACAGATCTCCATGCTCTACTTTGTGCTGTGTTTCAAAGAAGTCTGGCCCAAAGACAGATAAGCAAGTTCTACATTTTGCTTGAGTCCTTGTGAGTTTCTTCTTCAATTATCTTCTTCACGCCAATCAGGAATGAAATGATCATGTATTCTGTACTATATAGGAACATGCTATATGAGAAAAGTTGCTATGATGAGCTCTACATGTGTTTCAGACACTGTCCTCAGTCAGCAGGATGTTTTCATGGACTCACTTCCCTCACTAGGTTTCTAACAGAGCTCTACAATGACAAGTCGTCTTTGGGGAAATCTGTAACATTGGTATTTTGCGCCATTAGAAGAATGTACTTTTAAATAAAATCAATCAACATTTACTAAGGGTCTGCTATTCACACAATACTGTGTCCTGTACTATAGCCCCAGGGACTGCAAGTCCCACAAGTTTAATTGGTCACTGTGTCCAGAGAGGCAAAAATAAGTAAATACATCCATAAAAATAATTCCCTACTGCACTGATAGCATTGCTGTGTAGGAAGTTCACAAACTGCAAACCAAGTATGAAAATTAGGCTAAAAAAACATGATGAAAAGAAAATTTGGAGTAATGTAATTGTGATCTTGAAAGTTAAAAGGTAAATTCTACATGGTGTCTAGAATTTCAGGTGGCACTCAATCACCTAATTTGTGTGGAAAGAGAAATAGTGTCAAGTTAGAATACATTATGAATTATGGGGAGTGATAAATGACTTGTGATGATTTTCAGACATATCAAAAAAGGGGAATGATGAATAGCAATATGGAACAGATGCATATTTATAGATGCAAGAAGTGGGTATATGGACTTCTACATCTTTGTATCCCTGGTAACTCCAATATGATAGATCCCACTCTAAAAGATTGTATAATCAGCTCAAAATGTGATTTAACTATCCCATAAATTTCATCATTTTTCTTCATACTCCTACCCATGATGTAGTTGCAATGGACATTTATTGAAATGACTTTAGTGATAGGAATGGGGAAAATATGCAGATTATATATTCTGCCAAATACATATTCTGTCACCAGCAAGAGACCAGTGTGGTATGCCCAATAAAATATTCTCCATTTAGGAGTCAATCTTTTCACCCTAGATGTAGCAATGATCTTATCTTTCATTTTTACTTTAAACATATATAAAATAAACGTATTTATTCAATGCTATATGGTGTTTCAGTATGATTACATTATGTAATTTCCATAGATCTCTAGCATTTCAATGGGTGAAAGCACTTAGACCTCAGAACTTCTTGCCTCTGCCCAGTTGTAACTTATGACCTGTTGATGTTCCTTACCCCAGCCACCTATCTCTCTCTGCCTTCCTTCCTAGTCTCTGTTAACCAGCATTGTACTTCAACTTCTATAAGGTCAGCTCTGTTTTAGAATACACATAGAACGAGACCATCTGATACTACTATTTCTGTGTTTGTCTCAATTCACTTGACATAATGACCTCCAGTTCAATTCACATAGTTTCAAATTGCAATATTTCCTCTATCACTGAGTGTATTACATGTGTACATTTAGATGGACACTTAGGTTATTTCATGTCTCAGATATTGTGAATAGTTTGCTGTAAACAAGGAAGTATAGATGGCTTCTCAGATGGATTTCATTTCCCTTGAATTTACACCTGATAGTGGGAACATACAATTATATGGTAATGTTGTTTTTAAGGTTTTGGAAAGCCTCCACCCTCAATGACTACATTGATTCATAGTCTCAACAACAATATATTAGTGTTCTTGTTGTTAACATCCTTCCAAATAGTTTCTATCTTTGTCCTCTTGAAAATAAGCTAAGAATGAGATGTTGTATCACTGCAGCTTTGATTGTCACTTACCTGTTTAGCCGTGATGGTGAGAAGTTTTTCAAGTACCTAAAGCCATCTGTATGTCTTGTTTTGAGAACTGTTTATACTTGTTGCTTATTTTTAATTAAGTTATTTGTCTTGCTCCATGAGTTTGTTTGAGTTCCTTTTGTGTTCTGGTTAATAATCTCTTGTCTGACTTTGCATGTAGAGAGTGAACCAGTGAATCAGAGTTAACTTCTATATGTGTGTGCGTTGTTGTTGTTGTTGTTGTTGTTGTGTGTGTCTCAATTAGAACAAGCAAAATGAATTTATGCCTTTAACAAATCAATTGTGTGACAAAGGTAGTATAAATACTTCATGATGAAGATTCTATAAGTGATACAACATCTGTAGCTGGAGCAAACGTTAGTTAAATCTCCCATAGGTTTCATTCGTTGATTCTTCATGTTTTTGCACATGTAGCTTCCATGCCTTTGGCTCTCATCTGCTGTATTTCAGAGGCTGAACTAATTCACACATTTTCTTCAGAATATACTAACTAGATTGCTTTTCATCTTAGCCAATGAATAGATATTTTGTGAGTTTCTTTGTGAGTCCACTTAGTCAGGTTTCAATAAAAGAGTTTTGCAGATAGGAAATCTACATACCTAATGACCTTTAGGGACCAGGGAAATTAATATGTGGTATGTTTCTAAACCCATTAGACCATTTGCTAGACTAAGGTCAGGATTCTATATATCTCTATCCTGAAAATCTTATTCTGACTACAAGTCATAATT